GTGCATGAGTATGTGTGAGCACGCGTATGTAATACTATGTGCCTATAAAATTGATTTGTAAATCCATAATATGTTTCATGGTAAGCGTATAGAGCATTGCATAAGTGGAAATGCGCTATATAAATGCAATCCATTATTAGTAGTAGTAGTAGTAGTAGTAGTAGTAGTAGTAGTAGTAGTAGTAGTAGTAGTAGTAGTAGTAGTAGTAGTAGTAGTAGTAGTAGTATAGCTACCAAACTGAAAATGTTTAATGTGTTCCGTGTGCTCTTATGACCTTACGCAGTTGCGAGTGCCGTAAAACATTTACCAAAATACCAAAACAACAAGAATAAAGGATCATTGAAACAACTATCTTTTTCACGAATCATCTTAAACGTAATATACTTGTATAACACATTCTGACATAAATATAAATATGGCAGGAAAAACATGCACATTCTATGATACATCATGAAAAAAGTCTCTAGTTTAACAAAAACAAAACAAAACAACAACAACAAAACAACCCCAGACAAAAAAACCAACAACAAAAACAAACAGATTGTACGGTACGGGCTGGGCTCTTTCTGTTTTCCCGTGTTTTTTTTCAAACCAAGGAAGGCTACTCATAACAAAAAGAAAGTAAACATTATGAGACTGGCCTCCCTTGGTATATATGTTTAGGTCCCCAAACCTGTCTGACAGGTTTTGAAACTTTCGAGATCAGGTCCTAGAGACAAGTATTGTCATTGAACATGGCTTGCTATTTTGGGCACAATTCCTTCAGTACTCCAACACCCAAGAAAGCAAGGCGAGTCCACCTGGGTTGGGTGTGTGTTGAAACCAGGAATTCAGAGGTACAGTTTGATGCCGGTGGCTGGCATTGGGATGGAATAACAAAACTCTGCTTCCAGGAGTCATCGTCAAACAATAGACACAAAAAGTCAAGGCTCTTGTAGGGCTCTTGGCGACTTTTGTGCCCAAATTAGACAGGTAAGGAAAAATATTTGTAGTTGAATGATAAATACATCCCCATCTATCGTTGTTGCTCATTGTCCAGTGTGCATGAACACATTGGGCTTGACTGCAGAATAGGCTACTAGATCTACTACTGTTCACTGTGGAAAGATTTTAGGCCATGGCATGGCTATGGCCGTATGACTTGCCACGATCTTGTCTCTAACCTTGGTGATTAAATCATTGTTTACCAAATTTCTAGCCTGAAATTGAAATCGATATTTTGATCTTCAGATTTTCAGATAATGACTGATTGGTGTCCAACAGCAGATTATTTTTAGGCCGGCACTATTTCTCCGAACGTTCGGGAAAATAAAGCTGGGCACTATTTCTCCGAACGTTCGGGAAAATAAAGCTGGGCACTATTTCTCCGAACGTTCAGGAAAATAAAGCTGGGCACTATTTCTCCGAACACTCTGAAATATCATCCTTTCCCCCAAATTTCGGATATTATATAGAGATCTATAATTATAGTATAGGCCTACCAAAGATTGTTCGTATACAATATGGTTCAATCGGTCCAAAAAATGTCCGCCGTAAATATTTATATAAAGAAATGCTACAATTCCAAACAGTTTTTCGCTATAGATATGACGTGTTGCCTATGAAGGGTACTGCTTTTAAACGTAATGTGTTGTGTTCACTCGTGTGCTGTCTAGATCTAGATCTACGGAGGGTTATTGATAACGACACATAGAACTGGCATCTGCGTTTGTCACTGCTGCGACCAATGTACTGACACTGGCAAGCCCCTTAATGTGTGTGATTCCATAATTTACATGTAATATCCTGTACTTTTTTTAAAAATGTCGCACATTTTGATTTAGGGTTAAAACTGCCAATCTTCTTCGGATAGGTGGACACACGCCCTTATTTGTTAATGTTTGTTGTTGTTTATGGGCTGTTCTAATTTTGATTTCTTTCTGTTGTGAAACCTTTCTTTTTCACGTTTTTACACTCATCTAAAAATCTCATCTAGACTAGCTGTTGAAAATTGAAATAGATATAGACCCAAAAATTTGCTCCTGTGTGTGTGTGTGTGTGTGTGTATGTATGTGTGAGTGTTTGAGTGTGTCTGTGTGTGGTAGTAAGTGGAGAGTGAGGTGTGTGTGTGTGTGTTTGTTTGTTTTTCGGGCTTTATTTCAGCCTTTATTCAGTAACAGTTCAAAGTATACAAAAATAGAAACACAGGATCCATTCACTCCAGGACTCATGAGTCATTCGTCTCTTTCAGTTTCACTCTTTCATTCAATTCCCGTGTTCTCTCCCGCGGCTCATCCCCGTCCGCATGACTTTCATACCCCACCCCATCCCTCCAGGCACACACAAAGAAAATCTCACTTGTTCCCTGCGAACCATGGACAATAATATAGGCAAAACACCGCCTGAGCTGCATTCCTTTTGTTCGTGAGCTGTGGACCAGGCCAGGGGTGGTCAGTGTCGTCGTCTTAGTTGCTGTCGCCTGTGGATACACTCGCACATTCTTCCTTTCACCCGCTCTTTCACTCACACTGTCTCTCCATCCACAGTTCAGCTCGTCATACGTTCAAAAGTTGCCCACTAGTTATGTTTAGTTAGTGTGTGTACATGTGCATGATGGTGGTGGGTGTGTGGTGGGTGTTACTGAAGTTTGTCTGTAGGCGGGCTTGCCATGCGGTACGTGTTTCTTCCCAGACCAGAGGCTGAATGAAAGTTGGCGCCGAACTCTCGCAATAAATAGGCAAAAAATCACGAGACCGGAAGCCGAAAACCGTTCGGAGAAATAAAGATCGGCACTATTTCTCCGAACGTTCGGAGAAATAGTCACTTCGTTATTTTTATCTGGGTCCATACTATGATGAAATTTTATTCGCACAGGGTGTGTGAATACTATGAAATTATGTTATCTGCACAGGGTGTGTGAATACTACAAAATATTATTGGCTCAGGGCGTTTCAAAAGAAGGATGGAAATGATCTAGCATTTCCTCATTTCCCCCCCTCATTCGCACAGGGACAAAGATCATGATAATAAAGACAAGAGGCTGAGTACGAAGTACGGCTAGACTGGTTGGCTAGCCGTACTTTTATTAAGTGCGGCTGGACAACTGGGCTAGCCTTATTTATTCTTAATATGATGGCTAGACTGACCATAAAAAAATAGGCCTACTAAATTGTAAATATAAATTTATAGTTTGCTGTACCTAAAGTATTTAATTTGTATTAGAGACAAAACAAGGTGCCTTAAAATGACAGTGCATGTACTATAAACCTCCTGTTTTCTAATGTTAATAGGGCCTGAGATAAGTATAGTAGTAGTATAAGGTTTTACGGCGCTCGCAACTGCTAAGGTCATATGAGCGCGCGTGAGATAAGTATGGCATTTTGGTCTGCATTTTGGCTCAGAAATATTTCATGTTTTTAAGACAGTGAAGTCTATTGATTAAAATTCATTGATATGGAAAATGTCCTTTTGTTGATGCAATGCCACAAGTCTTTTGAGAAAAAAGCGCTTCTCTGACTTTTAAATTATCATGTCATCTATTTATTTTCATAGTATAGGACCTATGGAATCAAGGCTATTAATATACATGACATGCATCTTTACTCAGATGAAAACTTCATCCGTAATTGCATTATAGCTGTATAGTGGTGTCTGCCTGACAGCAACTACCTTGGGAATCAGACATTGGTTGTTGCTAGGTGGACAATGCTCCTATCCAAATTTTCAAAAGAGGGGGTTGGGGGGGGGGGGGTGTGGAAGGGGGAAGGGGGCTAGATGTTGTAAACTTTAAATGTAATGATAATCCAAACCCACATTCTACTGCATAGCACAGGTACCGCCTGACTGGTCAAGGTAATGACAATGGTGGAGACATTTAGACCAAAGACGGTGGCATTACACAAATTCAGTGTGTGGGTGGGTGGATTGCTTCATTTTGCGGTGTCAAAGGTCAAAGAATTTTGAGGTGGTGAAAATTATGCTGTAAGTCGCAATAGTGAGAGACCAGACGGAACTATTTTCAAGAAATAAGTGATGGGGTGTGGGGCAAGTGACAGTCCCAAGCCTGTATACATGCTGTTCCTTGCCACAAGTCCGAACAAAATGTACACTGTCATCTAAACCAGTCGTCAGAACAGTCGTTGGTAGACTGCCAACTAAATCAGAAACATCGGGGTAGACCTTCAACTAAACTGGCACCAGGGGGGGGGGGGGCTCTTGTGGTTTTAAAGGTGTTCGCCTCTCATTCAAAGGTCCTGGGTTCAAATCCGGGCAGCGACCGAAAATTTTCATCTCTAAGATTGTCTCCTTTCTCATCCTTTCCTGCTGTCTTGCAATGTTCTGTCGTCTGCTTTCGTCTCCTCTCTCTCTCCTCTCCTCCTTTGATCCCTCCTCTGGGCTCCTGACTCTTTCTGCAGCCTTTCTACTGCTACTCCTTCGCTCCTTCTCACTGCTGTCTTTCAGTCGCACCTTTGATCTTCTGGTAGGGAAGGTCCACACCTAGCCTTCTCGGTCACGGGTGAAAATCTCGGAGGTCCCGTTTGCAAGTTGCGCACGTTTAAGATCCCTTGGTGGTCTAAAATCGATAAGAGTAGGCTTTGGCTGTCACCCGCGCAAAATTCAAAATTTCCTACCAACTGAAAAGGCTTAATGTGTCCTGCGCGCTCATATGACTTTATGCAGTTGTGAGCGCTGTGAAACACTTGCCGGAAAAAAAAAATACATTAGTGTCTTTTACTTCCAAATGACAGGCACTCTTCTGTTTGTTTCTGTTGCTGCTTTGCAGTTTGCCTTTCAGAAATCTTAAGTAGCGATATTTTAACTATTTCGGTATCTTCAACCATAACTAAACGTTTTTCTTTACTTTAGTTAAAAGATTAAAGGTCTATAGATATAATGTGATACTGGTTGCTGTATATATTGTGCTACTTATTGAACGTGCCCTTTATTCCAGATTCTTGACTATAAAGATCGTGTTCACAAAAGCAACAAACAGCATCACCCAGTAATATCAGTTTGTTGATGTGAAAGTTATGTTGATAAAAATAAGGAAACCCCAGCAAACGGTATCACCTCGCAATACCAATTAGAATCTTTATGGCATTTACTTGATGTGATTGTGCCAACAGTGCTGTTAAGCAAAAACTCTATTTACATTACATCTTGATGTTTTCAACGCCCAACACATTTTCATGATTTTCTTTTCCCTTTACATTGGTTTTCTGTACAGCACATTGTTTCCTGCTCCTGAAAGACATAACTGCGTCCCCACTGTGACCCCTATGGTAACCCCTCCATTAGGAGGTCAAGCAGATAAGGAGATGGGGGGGGGGGGTGCTGGCGATACTTTACCTTTTCCTAATTACACTTATTACATTCATATTGGGAAGACTACTTTTGATATATATAATCTTCTGTTTCCCCTCAGGAACTACCTGCTGCAATGGCCTTTTTTGGGGCGAATATTAAGGTTGTGGCTTTGCTATCTTTGGCCCTTCTTCCTGTGATTTCCTTGGGTCAAACGCTATCGACCCAGACATGTTCGACTGATGGGAGTGCAGTGGTACAGCAAGGGGCCACAGCGTGGATCATCGGCATCATTTCGCTCAATGAGGAGGGGTCCAGTGGTTACGGATGTGGATCTCCAGGAGACGGGTGTAAGTTTTTGTGTCTGTCTTTATAATTTTTGTGCTGTAAAAAGTATTGCCTTTAATTAGTTGGAGTGGGTGCTCTGGTGTGATTTTAAACATTTATCATTGATCTCTCCTCCTTCTTTTCTTTGTATGTTCCTCTCTGTTAAGACCTCTCACCTTCGTACTTGTGTCACCTATTTTCATCATAAGTTCTGTAAAACTCCTATTAAGCTAATATGGTTTGAGGATGCCACTAGTAGGTCCTTCTATTGCACTATCCCTCTTTTGTTTCTGTTTTGCTTTTTCCTAAGCTTGGGTAATGGTTATGATTTTGATGTGCTTCTCTTTATTCAAATAAGTAACAGCAAACAAATAAAGTATATATATATCTTACCTTGGACTTGTGATTGCCAGTTTATTTTAAGGCTTGTTTTTTTGTTGGGGTTGGAGGGCACCACTGGTAGGTCAGACTACTTTACTGTTTCTCTGTAGCTTTGTCTCCCCCCCCCCCCCCCCCCCCCAATGCTTACATACTGGTATTGTGTCTTTGTTGTGCTTCTTTTGACTTAAAGAATAAAATTTAGGCATGTTTTATGTGGTTTCAGTTCGTCTTACTCAAACAAACAAATAAAGTATGTCTCGTCTCATCGACTTCTTTTAAGTGTCCTGATTTGATTGTGATCCGTGTTGTATTTGGTTACAGCTATGCACTCCTACGAAGCCATGAGGCTGGTTCTGGAGCTGCTCAACAAGAAGAACGGGACTCTGGGTACCACCAGACTGACTGACAGCTACGTGCCTGGGATCAAACTTGGTGAGTTTCTGTTGATCATATGTTTCTTATTAGGTTTTGCTGTTTTTTTTTTCTTCTTATTTTACTGTTTCACACTCCTTCCATTATCAGTGATGCCATTTTGACTTTGTTTCTTTTGTTTTTTTTCTTGAATGAGTATTTGTGCTGGAAAGTTTCTTGAATTTCTTAGTCTTCATATATTTTATTTCAACACTTGTCTTTGCTTTAGGTTTTATTGATGTTCTGCTACTGTTCCACAGTCCTGTAATTTGTGAATCCATTTTTGTATTGTTTCTGTTGATTTTTGCTTGTATTGGTGCTGAAAAATTTCTTTGTATTTAGTTAAAGTCTTGTTATTTTGTTTCAACTCTTGTCTTTTCTTTAAGTTTTGGTGTTTTTATACTGTCCTGCTCTTTCTGCAATTGTTAAAGCCATTATTTGGCATGCTTCTTACAGAGATACAGTCACATTGTAAAATGATTATTGATAGAGAAATCTTTTTTATTATTTCTTCATCTTTTTAGCAGTTGGACCAATTTGACTCTCTGAGAAATTAATTCCTGGTGCTAAAAGTTTAGAGATTTGTTGTAAAAGATAAAATCTCAGAGGTTTGAGAAACTCTTGTGTAATGTTGAAATCTTTCAGATTAAAAAAAATTAAGAAGTTATGGTTCAATTTTTTCTTTTTGCGACTCTTTTTTTCTGATTGCATTTTTTTCTGCAATTATTTCTTCTGATTATATGTGTTCAGTTTTTCTTTTTGAATTATATAATATAATTTTTCCCCCATATGTATTGGTTAATTTTTTTTTCTTAATTCAGCTTTGCTCAATTTATTCTTTTTGTTTGTATTTATCAGTTTCATTTTCTAATTATATTGTTATACAATGTTTCTCGTATGTTTCTCTCAGGCATGAAGGTGAAGAATTACTGTAGCAACGAGAAGTCAGCCGTAGCAGCGGTGAGTGAGTACTTCCCTCAACTATCAGGTGATGGAGAATCGTGCACGAGGGATGTAGACAATCTCACGCTGGGTGAGTATAATCGCACATTTTTTGTTTTATTTTGGTCTTCTTTGTAATATTCTTTTTATCTTTTGTTTGTTTTTGTGCTCTTTGGTGTTTTCCTCCGGGGGGGGCGGTGCTCTTGTGTAGTTTGCTCTTTCTCTCCGATCAAATTTTTATGGTCCTGATCTCCCCTTCTTCTTTTTTGTGTTTGTTTCTCTTGTAACACCTCTAATCTTTGGCACTTATATTACCTTATTGTGTTGCAAGTGCCATAAGACTCTTACTATAACTAAAACTTAACTTTGATATTTTCCACTGGGGTCTTTGATGATATGGTTAGGGTCTTAGCTTCCTACCTCTGTGTGGGTGATTGGAGAGTGCCAGTGGCAGGGCCTACTTCTTTAATTTCCTTCTTTTGTTTGTGTCTGTTTTTCCCTCTTTTCCCCAACACTAAGTGGCTGTTATGTGTGGACATGCTTCTATTTATTCAAAATAAAACTGTGGCATAACGATGAGGATTTTTTTTTTTGCATGCAAAAGATAAGAGTTCAATTCCCGAGGTGGGAATTAAAAAAAAAAATTCAGTATCTCCATCTGTATGATGAGATGTTGTAGCCCTCCCAGCCCTAGTTGGCTATTTTAGGCAGTGACTAAGCAGCCTTCTTCCTAATTGATGTAAATTGTTGTGAGGAGAGCCATAAAGCAATTACTATGCTAAAAAAATGAGCAAACGGTGATATACAGGATGCCGATTGTCTACCAGTCAGGTACTGCTCTCTTTTACATTCTTATTTTATTTTAGGTGTCACATCATGCGATTATCGTCCTATTCAAGTTATTTCATCATGTGATTGTCATAAAATTCGTCATTTTTCTAGTTATCACTCTACATGGTTTGCCATTCTATTTTAGGCATCATCGGTGGCTCCACGTCTGACGTGGCCATGGCCCTGTCAGAGGAAGCGGCCCCATTCCACATCCCTGTCATCTCGTACGAGGCCACAGCGCCACAGCTGACCGTGCCTGGCAAGTACACAAACTTCATGAGGACCATATCTCCTGATGGACCTCTCATAGAGGTGAGTTTTTCCATATGACTTTACTTACTTTTTACATATTTTTTACTTAATTTTTTTCCGGCCTCTGTTACCTTACAGTGTCGAGGAGAGAAAGAAAAAATCTTTCACTTGGTTGTTGTGTTGTCTGTTGCATAGTTATATTTCCCTTGACCTAACCTACGTATTCTGGCCTCTGTTGCCTAATGTTGTCCAGGGGAGAAGCAAATGTCTTTCTTTTGTTTGTAGTGGCGTTGGTGGTCTAATGGTTAGGCGACCGGACTCATAATTGTGAGGTTAGGAGTTGGAAGATTTGAGCCTCTGGCCTGACATTGTGTCCTTGCGAAAGGCACTTTACACACATTTTTCTCTCTTCATTCAGGTGAGAATGGGTACTTGACCATAGACAGCAAAAGATTTTGTCACTATGGTAGTGTTTTGGTGCCTTTAAAATGGCAGCTTGCACTGTATGCTTCCCAGGAAATTGAGATTGTTTCAGAATGCTCTCAGGTCTGCTGGGGTAATAATATTATCGATTGTTAAAGTGCACAGAGCTTGCTGTTGAGCGGGAATTTGCACTATACAAATGCTATCTATTATGATTTGGATTATTATGATTATGATTATTATTATTACTATTACTATTATTATTATTTTTATTATTACTTTTTAGGTGATTGTCCAACTGATGAAGAAAATGAATTGGGAATTTGTGGCCATTGTCTATGACTCTGGAACGTACGGTCGCTCGGCGTACTCTGAGCTGCACGCCAGGCTGAAGGATGCTGACATCTGTCTAACTGCTGGCATCATGATAGATGACAGCGACGAGACCACAGCTAGCGACACGTTATCTC